TTTGTGTGTGTGTGTAACCCCCCTTAGAAGACCCCCCCTCCACGGTTCCTCTGATCAATTACCCCGGCGCACCCCTACCCCCTCTGTCCTACCTTAGTGTGGACCACCCAGGACCACCACCCATCACGAACTCCACTAGGTGACCTGACCAGACAGCGGTTGCAGGCACCCGTGCTGAACCCCCCCCCCCCTACTTCCCCACTCAACCCTGGTTCAAGCGGACGCAGTGTTCCATGGGTGCTTTGGGACCTAGGTGTGAATGTGCAACTACACTACATGCCTTTCCTGAGGGGGTTCAGACTCCCCTGTGTGTCCCCCAATCGACATTGTTGGTATGACCTGGGTTGTGGGAGCAGAGAGAGGTAGACTACGGGAACAAGTGCAAGACAATGGGAAAGCGGGCATACTTGTTCTGGGACTTGTATGCCTGGAATCTGGATGTATTTGACTGCAACTGTGGCAATATTCAATTAAGTCATAGTGTGCGTATGTTCCGATGAGAAGAAGAGGAAATATTGAGGAGGAGCTGGGTATAGCTTCCCCTTTGGCATGAGCCTTCTTTTTTTCCCCCCTGTACTCTTAAAGGCAACAGCGGGTCTCGCGTGATGCGTCCTGCTGAGACCTTTTCCCACGCGGGCCCAGTGCACCATGGGCCCGGTGCAGTTTTTTGTTAACAGCCGTTTTTTTTTTTTTCGGGTTGGTGTTGGTGCGGTTTCGTGGGCCCCGCGCGGTTTTCTGTTTACGGCCATTTTTTTTGGGGTTGGTGTTGGCGCGACTTTATGAAACGGGTTTTTCTTCGCTACGGTTTTTTTTTCGCGCCGCGCCGTCGAAGTTGTCGGCCATGTTCAACCAGGTAGTGTATATTTCCATGGTTTAAGGGAAGATTCATTCGATTTTGCTCATCCTATCGCTGGAAGTAGCATGACTTGACGTGGTCGGCCAGATTCAACCAGGTAGTGTATATTACCATGTTCTACCCGAAGATTCATTGGATGTTGCTCATCCTATAGATGGAAGTAGCATGACGCGAGCCACGAGGTTGGAGACTTATCGGCTCTCTCTCTCTCTCTCTCTCTCTCTCTCTCTCTCTCTC